TAGGGTATCTTGGAGAAGAGCTATGTCCCTCCCAAATTGGAATTCTATTCAAATAATTCAATTAATTACTTTTCTGACTGACTTCTGGCTGTTGCCAAGCATGAAGAATTGTATCTTCCAGGATGTGTCAGAAACATGCCACTTCTCAGAGCTTCAATCAAAACTTGACAAAGCATTAAAGAAGCAACCATCCCCCGGCTGGGCCTGACTGCTAATTAGATGAGTAGAGGACTGGTTTTAGTATCACCCTGAAGCTCTCAGAGGAGAATCAAGAAATGTCATATGTTTCTCAGCAAAGCCTGTGGTAGCCAAGGTAGAAAATCTTACATTCATCTTCTGTTCATGAAATCTGTCCATTTCTTGAAATGTAAGTGCTACAGAAGCCACTGTTACAGAACTGAGGTCTTTCTTTTCCCTGTCACCACTGAATAGATTGTTACACTTGAAAAAGTTTGCAACTTGGCATAAAAAGCATCCCAGCTGAACTGTATTTCGCAGCCAAGTGCTGTGGGGAGAAAGAAGGTTTGGAGAGGCTTTTCCAGGTATTTTTCTTAGCTGCACATCTTGCCATTGAAAACACAGACTTCATCGCTGCCTTCCTCCTCTGCTGTGCACCATCATGTGCAGGTGGCAGAGGATGGCTGGAGCTTGCTGCAGGCTCCCTCTCCCTCTCTCCTTGCTGTGCGGTTCCTCCTGTCGTTGGCCCATGGCAAGCTGCTGCTCCTTGGCCTGCAGGCTGGGGTGAGGAAGAGTTCAGGATGAGCCTCGCAGGATGGTGTAGTGCCTGGGTGATTCAGTGTCATTGCCAGAGCAACTCTTGTTAAGTGAACAAAGCAGACGCAGCTTGGTAGGGCTGTTCTGCCATTGATGGATTAGTCACAGGGTTACCAGTTTGTCCCAGGGACAGGGAAATAATCTGGGCCTGTACGTGGCACTTCAGCACCGTCCTGCTGGAGCCAGCAGTGCCCAGGCCCATCAGGCCCCCACGGATATCGTGCCAACAGTGGTCCTGCCGAGTGCATGGGGTGCTGAGCACAGAACCTGAATAGCTGCACATCTTCTCCAACCAGAAACATTTGGTTAGGTGAATGTGCTTCAGCAAGTTGAGGTGAGTTAAAACATCCCAAATGCAGGCGAGTTCTATTTTACTTGTTTTGTTATTGGCACGTAAGGAGAGAGCATTGACATGTTTAATGTTTCTTAAGCCAGAGAAGAAGAAAATCCATTCACTACAGCCTGAATACCTCTGGTTTATGAGCCTTTGATTCATCCTGACAACTATTTAAAAATTAATTTCAACCTCTGCATTAATCTTGGCCAGAAAAAGAAAAGAAATGTGTTAGGTAACGAGTGCCACAAAGTGCAGTTACCATTGTGGATGTGTGCAATGAAAGGCACAGTTAGCATTTAACTCACAAGAGAATCTTTAGCACATATTACCAGATACTTGAAGTCCATTGAATAAATGTGGACATGGGCATAGAAATGCATCTCTAATATTATTTCTTCTCTTTCATATGTATAGTTTCCCTCTATGTCAGAGCATCCCATGTGTCATTAGATACTGAAACCAAGGTACTACAGACATTTTGTTATGTGAGGGAAGAAAGGGATGTAAATTACTTTTTTTTTTTTTTCTTCACAATATTAGTCATATTTTAGATTAAAAAATTAGATTAATGACTTGATTGGTCAAATAGCACTCTCTATAATGCCTTGGAGAAATTATTATAAACTCACTAAAGGGCTAAAAATAAAAACACCATCCAGATTATTATTTGTTGCTGATTTGGTTATTTTTTTCCAAGAATGCTTCATTACAAATGGTAATGTTTTGCAAGAAAATAACCAGATAGCCTGCAATTTGAATATATTAAGTATTTGAATAAATAAAAGCAGCTGCTTGCCTCTTGCAATAGCTGTCTTCTGACTTTGCATTTCTAAACGCCTTTTTGTTTAGCATATACACTTGGCCATGTCTTTTCTTAGTATCTTGCATTTTGTGATATCTTGTAAAAGGCCCTAGGCTAAAGGTGTCAAAAGATCATCCTAACAGTGAGATGGAAGGACGAGAGAGAGAGAGAGAGAGAAGGTAGGCATGTGGTTGCACTCCTGTTCGACTCCAGTGATGTTTCCATCATGAGTTGAAGACAGAAAGCTGCACTATAGCTTGATCAGAAAGTGCACGTGATGAAGAACAGGAATGAGGTTAAATTTATCCAGGAGATAATAATTTTTTTCTCCCTCTTTTTCATTACTTTAATATTAAAGAAAGAAGATGAGACACTGTGGGATCCTTGTTTTATTATTACAAAAAAGATTAATTCCATAATCAGTTGAATGTAATTCTTCATTTGTAGCATGTCATATCTGGCCTTTGTCCATTATATCTGGTTGTCCAGAAATATACCAAGCTATATTCAGCTGTATTAGACATAATTAAAGATACTAAAAGCATGTTTTTAAAGACATTTTAGATTGAAGGTGAGTAAGCAGTTAAGATAGTACCTGTATTTTCTAGTGGAAATATTTTTGTCTGTCTCTCCTTTTTGTAGGGGCTTTCATGTCTTTCATACAGTGTCCCAGCTCATACTGCAGATAATGCTAGGTGGCCATACTGGACAAGTGAGTGATTAGAGTGGTGGCTTTTGAGAGGAGCGATGGATTTCATTTCAGGATTTCTGGTTGTGGGATTTTTCACTGGGGGTTCTTTGTGGTTGTGTGTGAGGTGGTTGCTTTGCTTTTCTCATAGAGTGATTTGAAATTGTTATTTTTCTTCAAGAAGGGAAAGAGAACAAAATAAGGCATTTGAACAGCTGTGAAAAACGTAAGCACTGCTCCACACAATTTATCTTATTGACTCTAGTAAATTGACTGGCATGGCACATCATCAGTGCCCTTCTCAGCCACTTTGAGACTTGGCAGATTCTCCCTAGGCTGTTAGGGTAATGTTTGCATTAGCCCTTGGTAATAATCAGAAGTGTTGCAAAGGCAGGTTTATTTTCCCTGCTGAAGGTGAACCCTTACTTAGACACCCTCCACCCCACCCCCCCCCCAAAAAAAAAAAAAAAATCAGAAAATGATAAAAGCTTTACAGCCAAGTATCTCCAGGAGGGTTAAATTTCCTATCATGGCTATCTAAAACTCTTTTGATGCAGCTAAACCAGTGATTCCACCCAGCTCATTGACTGGCCTATTCATAATCGGGGAAGTATTCCTCTCAGGAGACTTCCCATCGTAAATGTGGTGCAATTTGCACTTCTGCTCCAAGACTTGAGAAAGGAGGGTTTGGTTCCCAGCTTTGCGGCATATTTTGTGTGTGAGTAGCAACAGTCTGTCACAGCTATTTCAGTACTTCCAGGCAATCCAGGCACCCAGCAGAACTGGAAAGAAATTCCAGCACAGTTAGCATTTTCCACTGAATGCCACCCGCCTGTCCACTTCAATAAGTCTGAAATTCTTAGACTCCTCCTGCAAGCTCTTGGTACCTAAATGCCTTTGAAAAGCTGGTTTATACCTCCCGGGGGATTTGGTGGAGAAACATCTGAGCCAGACCACAGGACCTGGGGCACAGTGCTGCTCTGGGGGAGGCTGGATTGGGTCTCAGCCTGGAGGAGGATGCTGTCAGAAATGCAGTCTCTGTTCATGGCCAGGCAATCCTGTCCCACCTCAGTGAGTGTGGCAAGGCAGGCAGCTTTTTGTCCTCCTGCCACAGTCAAAATGCAGGTAGCAGTGGGGTTTACAACATGCCAACTGATCTTCTGGGATTTCAGCTGATGAAACACTCACCTTAGCATCATCTCTCTGACTTGAAACACCCCCAGTTTGTACCTTCTTTTCTAAATTCCAGTTCATGATCGTTGTGTATGCTATCATATCTGGCGTGTTTCTACGTTAAAGTCTATCTTCTTTGTCCTTAGCTGCTTAGTACAATTGAGGATTTGACCACTGCAAAACATGGGTTAGCTGTAAAAACAATATACCCTTTTTTTTTTTTTGAAGTGAAAGAAAAATATCCCTAATATTAAACCATAAAGGAGTGAGCTTATATATAAAGCCAGAAGAGACATCTAATAAGCTGCCCCATCCCAGAGAATTTCAGACTGAATTTGTTGTTTACATAGGGCACATAAAAGAAAGAAAAGTAGTTTCAATAGCATTTAATGCAAATAAAATGAAAACAGTACTGTACACAAAGAAAAACTGATGCAGAGAAAAGGCTTGATAGATCACTGAAGGGCCTGATTTCTCAGGCCATGGCTTCAAAAGGGGTAACAGGATGGTAGGAAGTCCCTGCCCCATCCTATTGATGGGCACTCCTTTGCCACCTCAGCTGTATGGAGCTGATAAGTATATGGCTGTTTGCCACCTCAGCTATGCCAGGGGCTGATCTGTGCTGCAGTAACATTTATTTTTTTTTGTAAATTAAAATGATGCTGTTGACTTTCAATGTGGGTATAGCTCTTGTCCCTGCAGCCTTCTCCCATCACTCATCCTGGGTGTAAACAGCAATGCTTTGGTGCATTCAGCATGAAACCACGTGGGGATCTGTGATTGAAAGAGTTCCTGGACTGAGCAGGGGTTTGGAGGGGCTTCTCTGACTCTGTCAGAGCTGTGGCCATGCAAAATGGGCTATGATAAGTGCTTGGGGTGTTGGAGGGAAGGATGCTGGCTACAACACATCTCCCTTTCTGCAGTGGTTACAGCAATATTCCTCTAGGTGAGCCTCAGCAGAACTGGGAACCTGTGTTTGTCAAACTGTGAAACACATTTTAATTAACTCACAGAGGTGAGTTTATAGAAATACACTGTGTAACTGGTTCCAGTTGAAAACTTCACCAGATTCATCCAACTTACCTTTGGATGAAAATCAGGAGGAGAAAATGGAACTTTTTGATACTGATTTGCTTTTTTTTCCACTTGCCTCATCATCTTATCATTTTCTTTTATTATACTCACCTGTTCTAATTAAAGCTTCTTTTCTCTCTCTTATACGACAGGCCTAGATGATGTTGTAGCAATAATGATTCCTGAACCCAAAGGAAAAGAGATAGTGAGCCTCCTGGAGAGGAACATCACTGTGATGATGTACATAACCATCGGGACACGCAACTTGCAGAAGTACGTCAGCCGGACCTCCGTGGTGTTCGTCTCCATCTCCTTCATTGTGCTGATGATCATTTCGCTGGCATGGCTGGTCTTCTACTACATCCAGCGATTCCGCTACGCAAATGCCAGAGACAGAAATCAGGTAAGAAGGGCTGGAATGGCTCTTGTTTCCAAAAAAATCACGGTGGAATTCAGCTTTAAATAACTTTAAAGTAAAATTTGGGGAAAATAAATGTGTGGTTTTAAAAGAAAAAGAAAAAAAAAAAAAGAAGAAATAGTGAAAAGAAGGGGGGTTTAAAAATGCTTATGTATGGGAAAAGCCAAGACTTCTATCAATACAGATGGGACTGAGGAAAAAAGAAATTAATGACTATAAAGTGTATGTATTATGGGTTGTTGTTTTTTTTTGCTTGCACAAAACACACAGGAAGCAGCCAGAAAGAGTCATGATGTTTATTACCAAAAAGATTCCTTTGGTACACACAGCCAAGTGACATCGAAATGTATATAAATTAACTAGCAATCCGTAAGATCAAAATGATGTGAAAAATATAGTGTGGTATGTGAATGTCTGTGTGGGAAACAAGGGCTCACAGTAAGCAGAGAGATTAAAAAGAACAGGAAGTGTTTTCATTTTCATGCTTCTTCAGAAAGGCCTTGAGCTTGAAAGGGAGTGTTCCTGTTCATTTGACAATTGTCCCTGAATGGAACAATTAATTAATGCTGTAGTGATAGCCACTAATATTAGTAAATCTTTGCTTTTGGTTTTGGCATCTTGTCTGTGTCCTCCTGCTCCACAGAAGAGACAGAAACTTAGAGAGCTGGAGAGAAGTCAGCAGTATTCTGTGGGAATGGGTGCTAGGTCCTGAGGCTCTCTCAATTTATAAAGCACCATGCATCTTTATGGTTGTTCAGCAGTGAATAATAATAGCAATATTAATAACAAATTTAATCTTTTCTGGACTGGATCCAACTATCTTGGCATCAGCAGAACTGTGAAGCTGAGGCTTCTACATTTCATTCTAATGGTACAGTAGAAAATATTATCAGTGTATGAAATCTGAGGAGATAACCGTTTTACTGCAGGAAAAATAATGCGCTTTAATTCAGAGATGTTTCTGGACCCTTAATAAATTCCTGTTGGGGCAGGGGGAGGGCTGGCTTGCTTGCTCTGCAGAAAGAAGTAAAAGAGAGTGTTAATCATCTTGTAGAAGAAAGTACTGCTGCACTCTAAAATATCCTGAATGTATAGGGATCCCTCACTACCCCCATTGAAATTCAGGCGTCTTCTGAGATAGGGAGCAGCTGCTCTGTATTTACACACAGAAAGAATGTATTTTACTTTTAAATGTACACCATGAAATTTTGGATAGTAAGAATGAGACTATCCCAGCTGGAATTTGAACATCACTGGCAGCAGAATCACTGTGACTGTAGCGGCTGTGATAATTTTTAGATGCTTTGGCTGCAAAAGCACATGTGTGCCTAATTTATGTACGTGAGTACTGTAAGCGTGCTTTCAATCAAGTAATTGTGCAGGCAGATTAGCAGAGTAAATAGACATACATAAACATGAAACCCAGCAAAATAAGAAGCTCCCTTCAGGTAATATGCGGTAGTTTGGAATGGACTGGTTTATGTGTTCAAGCAGACTTCCTATTCAGTCTTTTCTTTCCAAGGTTTGAATGAGATTAATTTGTATACAACCAATTGTCCTGTGCGGAGATTTTAATAACTTTGTAATTAATACCAATTCTGTTCTGGAGAAGAATAAGAAAATAGGCCTCCTAGGCAATTATTTATTAGTCATTTTTTGCCAAAGCTTTATTAATGATACAGGGCAAACCAGAATTTCTTTATGCAGTTTATTCACATGATTTTGCCTGACATCTCCTCTAATTAGCTCTTACTTTTGTTAAGAAAAATGGTGTATGATACATTTGGATAAATCTCAACCATTTGTGCTGGTGAGCTTTTTAATCCTGGCTATGGACTAGAGTAATGTAAGTAGCTGTCAGAAGAGCTCGACTTGCTCTTGCCCTTTCCATGAGGGTCCTCTCTGCTTCCTCTAAAGTTCTGCTTTTTTTTTTCTTTGACACGTTTTCTTGTAGCACAAGGATGGGAGCACAAAGTCCTTGGATATTCATATAAATACAAGAGAAACATTTTTTATTGCTTTTTGGGGATATAGTTTAGAACATGGTTCTTTTGTCATTTTGCTCAAAAGCTTTTGCCATTCTAACTTGCATGTGTCTGAGTAAAGGTATTGAGCTTACTTGTTGGAAAGCCTTGCAGGTGTTTTAAGGCCCTTCATTGCTGGCCAACTTTAGGAAAGATGCTTCCTTCTATTTATATTTGATAAACTCTGGATAAAGTTTATCTGATGGGTGAGGTTGAAATGTTTGTACAAACAGCTTTCAAATGAAGAGGGACCCAGCTGGCCTATTTAGTGAAAGCAGCACTATCAGTTGCTACCCCACGGCACAATAAAGTCTTACTGTGCTTACTGCCCATCTCTCTAACTGCAAAAAACTGATTTATTAGATTTCTGTTTTAAAAATAAAAAGGAGGTTAAATTCATTTTGACATCTGAATGATTTTAAATCCTGCAGTTTTAAAGCAAGGTCTTGTGAGGGTCAGTGTTGTCTGTGTCAAAGCAGAACCTCTGCTTACCTCTTTGTTTACCTCCATCACGCATACCCTTCCTGGGGCTGTTTTATAGCCAGGCTGCTACCCAGAGCAGGTCAGGCTCCTCTGAATTTGTAGTTTTGGCACTGTGCTGAGGGAATGGGACAGGGTAGGCTGACTGCTAAATACAATCTGCAGAAAAAGTCATTATCTGCAAGTAGGAGGGGTGTTGCAGCACTGCTGAGCAAGGTTTCTGAATATCTTCCATTGATCATTCCAAGCCTCTCCCTAAGTCATCTTCCAAGCCTCTTCCAAGCTGACCCACTTTAACGATGTCTTGCTTTCCTGCAAAATATGGTGCATCCTTTGGTCAAGCCTCATAACCACATCTGCCTCCTTGTCTTTTCCTGTATGGTCACCCTTCTTTCTAGGTCCACTTCCCATCTTATACACAGCTTAAGTTGTTGATCAGGCAGTAATTCCAGAAGGAGCTGACTTAATTGCCCATCTAGAAAGTGGTAGGTCCTGCTAATGAGACAGGCAGCTAGAAAGACTGAAGAATCTCCTGGATTCCACCTGTGATTCCCCAGTGAAGTGAAACCTGGACATACACCTTGTACGTCTTCACCCATCACTCTTTCACCACATGTGCAAAATCCAGGTTCATGCACCAGAAGGGAGACCCAGTTCACTTCAGCTAGGTGCTTGGTTTAAGCGTATGGAGAACCAGGTCTGCAAGGCTTCCTACTACGTGTCCTGATCTGTTCATGTAGATGTTAGTGGGGAATTTCTGTAGTGGATTCCAAAACTGTCTTCCATTATGGGCTTGTGCACCTGTAGCGTGTCAGCTACAGCTACAGTCACACTTCCTACAGTCATAGAAAATATGGTTACATTTCAATTTTGATTTTAATGTGTTCAATTTTTAGCACAGACAGTCTTTAGCACAGACAACTCTGTGGTTACATATGAAAGTGAAAGGCAAGTAGTAATATTCACATGGCTGAAAAAAACAACTTTTTCTCCTCTTTTCTCACCTAAGAAGATGGCCAGCAAGTAGGTGGCTGCCCTGATGTTATGCCCTTTTGGTATTATGATGATGAATTTGTGAAAGGAAAGCATAGCCAACCTGCTTCCTCAGCAGCATGTTCCTGGAGTCCTCCTGAAAATGTGAAAGCGTGTCCACGAAAGACCATGGGACTTGTTTGCATCAAGCAACATCAGGTTACAGAGCTAATTGAAGGTGCTTTGGAATTACATGACAGATTAATTCCTGGAGGTAATTCAGCAAACCGTGACTTGTTGTCTCAGCCCTGTAACAGCCAGGACACAGACTTTAAAAAAAAAAATAATAATAATAAATAATCTTTCTGTTGTCAGATGAACCACAATATAGGAAGACAGCAAGAGGGAGATGTTTAAGGTCCAGATCTGTTGGCAGGACTTCTTCCATGTTGTTTCTTCCCATTAGCTTCTTGTTAAGTAGTTTCCTCTATAAACATTTTGAAACCAGGTGGGCTTCATGCTTTTTGCAGGATGGCAAAAGCCAAAGCAGGAAGTTGTCCCACTAGGGCTGTGGAAGGTCCTGTGCATCCTGGATTAGGGTAACAATAACCTCCAGGGAGGGATCTAGTTAGTATATGACAGGCATTGTATGGAGGGTCAAGCAGTTCTCTGAGAAAGAAGACTGGTGGTCATGGCTTTGCATGAGGGTTTGGGGCCATTGAAGGAGAGAGATGAAATCTTTGAAGCGGGCTTGGGAAGATGCTTCCCATGATGAAGTCTGCTAACTTGATCTGCGGTACAGGAAATGTCTTATACCTCATCCTGATGGTATAGCTCATTCTTCTCGAGGCACAAAGTAATCTCCTTCCTCCAAGGGTAATAGTTTAGTAAGGCCATTAAGAGAGGAGCACCTGTAATTTCTCTTCCACAGCACCTGCTGTCATTTCCTTCCTCAGGAATAGACAAGTGATGCTTTCCATGCTACTGTCCTTTCTTTTTAAATAGTAATGCCATCTCCACAAGACCACTGCATCTTGTATGCTTAACTCCTTCCAGTCCAGTATTGAATGTTGCAGCCTTGGTAATGAGATTATGGGATTTATGATTATAAATCTCTAAGCTTCACTTTAAACCCATAAACTATTGTAATGCCTCTTATCTTCTAGGGACAATGATTGGTTAGTGATAGCATGCCTTTCATTCAGATAGAAGAATCCTTGAAAGTATGACTTTACTCCAAGATATTCTTGTTCTTTCAAAAATTAAATAATTCTCATTTGCATTTAAGTCATGAACTTGTCTATTTAAGCTAGACAAGAGAAAACAAACATGAAAACAAGCAGATCAAAGATGTACACGAGTCTTTAATCTTGTCCTATGCCCTTGAAGAATGTGCAAAAAAAAAAAGAGCTGAGACATTTCATTAGTTTAAGTAATAATAATGATAAAAAGGAATCACAAGCAATTCCTGAAGGAGGACGCAATGGCTCTTGTCTCGCTGCATGTTATCAGTCTTTCTTTGATTTACATTAAAGAAACAAATAGCTGGCAAGAAATGTTTCCAGCTCTTGCCTGATCTGTTTATTGAAGGGAGACTGTGAGCAAAAATGTACCACAGAAAAGATGTTGTGCAACTACAAAAAACTCCCTTACATGTAATAATTAGCTGTGCCGGAATGCTCGTATGTGAATCTCATATGATAGCCAAGATCATTTTCACCTCTTTAGCCAGCCCTGAAATTGCTCACTGCTGTCGGTATTGCATGCGTTTTGTCAGTCTTCCATGTCTCCAATCTAATAAGCTTAGCCTCTAAATTAAATTCGGCGATTTTAATTGAACCCAAAGAACAACGTGGTAATTTATTAATCATATCTGGGTGATGATTAGCTCCCAATTTACAAACAGCATCCAGCTTCCTTCCAGTTTTGGCTCCGTGCTCTCCCCCCCTCCAGCTGGAAGCCCTTGCCGCTGACAGGCTCCTCTGAACTCTGGCACAGGCAATGTTCCCGGCCCAAAAAGTTGAACGTCTTCTGAGTCACCGGAGCTCCCGAATCTCCCTCCTAACTAACAGCACATGGCTGGAAACATGGACGGGGGTCAGGGGAGGTGAAAAGAAGAGTTTGTCATCGGTGGCACCTCGGGGTGCACTGTGTCATAAACTGTTATAAAACTGACGGGAAGGCATCAGGGTAGGTGTTGCTGTGTGATCCTCTGTAAGATAAGAAGAAATGGGAGAGAGCCCAATGGGAGAGGTCACCAGTATGGTCTGGGGACAGGAGCATGCAGTAAACGAGGAGAGGTGGAGGGAACTGGGCTTACTAAGCTGGGCGGAGAGGAGGCGGAGGGGCTCTGCCTGCGGCCCTCGGCAGCATGAGGCAGCATCGGGCTCTTCTCGGCGGTGCACAGAGAAAGTGTAACAGTCACAGACTGCAACAAGGGAAATCCCCTTTATATGATGATAATTAAAAAGGCTGTGAGAGCAGTGAAGCACTGGAACAAATTATCCCCAGACATTGTGAAATCTCCCTTCCTGGAGATAGCCAGGACTTGACTGGACACAGCTCTGACTTTGAAGTTGACCCAGCCTTGAGCAGGGGGTGGAAGCACATAACCTCTGGGAGACCTTTACAGCTTGTGAGTCTGTCTGCAGCTCTCCTTGTTGCGTTAGCACAAGCGAGCAGCCAAGTCCCGGGAGTCTGTGTCTGTTCTGATACAGGCACAGGCTCCACAGCACGGGCTGCAGAGGTAGCTCCACAGGGTGGAGGACAGGGTGTTTTACATCAGGCTGTTGTTCCCTGCTTTAGTCCTGAGTGGCAGTGACCCTGTCAGCACAGTAACAGTGTTTGGGAAATACGTGAGAACAATCGGAAATGTCACATGGTAAGCAATTCACAGGCTGCTGGAGGGGAAGATAGAGTGGAAAAGAAGTGAATGGTTGTGTATGGATAGGATGTTACTGCAGGACTACGTAGTACTTTACCTGTAAGAAACTGCAGGTGCTTTAGCCTCCTTTTTTTCCTTGCATTACTCCTGTAAAGTAAGCAAGCTCTGTATTGCAGGAAAACGAAACAGCAGAGAAGATGATTCATGTTTTTCATGGTTAACAAGTTATCACCTCAGTTGCAGCACTTAAATTTTGCTGGTGATCATGAGCCAGACCTGGTATAAAGACCTCCTGAATCTTAAGTGTAGCATTCATTCTGCTTACCAGCCCAGGCCTTGTTTATTTATGTGTTTTTTATAAGTATAATTAAAAAAAAGGAGAGGGGAAAAAGTAGGATTCCCAAGCAGCAGACTTGTTACATACAATTCTATTGACTTAAATAGTATAGGTGCCATAGCCATCACAATGGGCTCATGCAGTCTCCTCTGGAACTCCATTAGCATAGCTTTGCCTCATCAGCCCTGGGTTACCAACAAGCCTAGAATACCTACTGTGCGCTTACTCTGAGTAACAGCGTGACTGACCTCATCTGTTTACATTTATACGGCACTGTCCTGTTTCATGTGCAGTTGCTTCAGATTATTAAGAAATCTAGTGGAAAAAAAAGCGATGAATTCTGCATGAAGAGATACTCTTTGCTTAAGAACCAATTTTCTATTACAGCGCCGGCTTGGAGATGCTGCAAAGAAAGCAATCAGCAAGCTGCAAGTCAGAACAATCAGGAAAGGTGATAAGGTAATTTTTCAAATTGCTCATTACCAAATGAATGTCTGCATCGAGTATTCCTTCAGACCACTGGGACAAAGAGGCAGAAGAGAAATGGCAATTGCTTATTAAGCTTGTGTGTATCCTCCAGGTGGTGGAGTAATACTGGTAAGCAATTTATGGATGGAATGAGGTAGGGAGAGGAAGAGGTGAAATTATCTGAAGATGCAGAAAATCCTGAAAGTGCAAACATGCTACCTAAATCTGTGTGCTTTTCAAACTGGATGCGTGTTGAAAGTCTGACATACTTTTCTTGAAATGTATGATTGATTTTGCAGCATGCATCAGTGACTGTTTTACTTTGTCACATAAGCTCTTGTATGAAGAGATTAGCTAACAAAATAAAAAAATGAAAATGATGAATGTTCTCTTTCCTGTAGGAAACTGAGCCAGACTTTGATAACTGTGCTGTTTGTATTGAAGGCTACAAACCCAATGACGTTGTCAGAATTTTACCTTGCAGGTAAGTTAAAGGCTGAAGATGCCTTAAGCTCTGATAGTGTCTCTGCTTCAAAAGATGGGCTCTGTTCTCAGAGTATCGCTCTGAGATTGTCTGAGAGCTTGGTGGAAAAAAGGAGAGTTTATTGTTTTGATTTATTCCAAATCTATTCTATAAAGACATCTGAAATGCCTATTTATTCTACTTGAAATTAAGGTAGCGTTAGTGGTGGTGAAAACCTGAGTTTAGCATGATGGTAAGAATTTTTATCTGATCTGGATATCTAACAAAGTTTTCAGTAAGATTTTTAAACTGAAGAGTTTGATTCTTCTATTTTTCTCAACAGTTTAATAATAATCTAAAATAACACCTTTAGAAGAACTTGCCACTGACTTCAAGGTGAGTCCTGGGCTGAGCAGCCAGAGATAGAGTGGGCTAACTGCTCCCCATGGAAAGAAACTAGCACTACATTTGCTGTCCTGTGTCGTGACCAGGTGTCGGGAGAGGGATGACTTCTATCAAAATAAATAAATAAATAAAGTTAAGTAGAAGCAATAAACCAAAAGGGAATGTGAAAAAGACCATGTTATCTATTGCTGCCATGAAAATATTCATAGGCATGTAGGACATAGAGGACATAGAGGTGACAAGAGCTTATTACAGTTGTTCTTTCTAATTTCTTCCCTTCACGTGACCATGCCCAGTGCTGCACGCACACTCACAGTGATGTCATGCAGGAGTGCAGCCTTTTGCCACCTATAACAGCTGTATTCACCTCTCTGTGTCATTTTATTGTCATCCATGGAGTGTTAGCTAACAAAATATTTCTCTAAATAAATCAATTTCTTAGGAAATTTCCTAGGAACAGTGGTTCTCCCAAGAGAGCAAGGACAAGTGCTTTTTACCCTAGAAAGAGTGATCTCAAATGCAGTATATATAGAGCATAGATTTTTATGGAGTTTCTTCTATTGGATACATGTTCATTGGCTTGAGAAACTGAAATATTTGTTTCTTTTCCTGCTATGTTTTTCCCTAGTAGATATTTGAATGTTACAAGCTGTCCATTTCTGTTCATTCATATGACTCATTAATCTGTTTACCGCCATCACTAAATGGCAAACAAAAAGCAACAGATTAATCATAAATTTGACCTACTCTAAATCCCCCACAATGACAAATTGCATATGAACTCTTGTTTTTCTGCAAACACACACTTCATGAAGCAGAAATACAGACAAAAATGAGAAATTATCAGAAAATGTGAACCTTGCATTGGCATCAAGCCTGTTTTCATAGAAGCATAATAAAGTTTGGAAATTGTACATGATAGAGACAGGCAGTTTTCAGAGGCAGTTATACAACAGCAAAAAAAAAAAGTCTACTCTCTAGCTTTCATTTGTGTCTCTCCTCATAATTCAGTGAGGCTCCAGTCAGATTTTGTCATGCACAGTGTTGAGTCAAGCAGAGTGAATAGGAAACACATAGTTAACAGGTGATGTTCAGTTCTTGGCTGACTTAAAAGGTCGCCTAGAAAATGACTCATGCTAAAAGGTTAGCAGCAGCAGATCTGTCTTGTAAAATACTCACAGTTTGAGCCTAAGCAGTTTTGAATTATAAAAACTAAAAGATCTTTCTCAAGCCACTACTTCACAGACTTCAACAGGCTTTACTGTTGCCCAGATTGTGAGGGCATTATCTTAAACATTAATTCATATCGGGTTGGACTTCTGAAACTGATTCTTTCTGCTGCTGTCAGACTTTTCTCCTAAAAAAAAAACAAACAAAAGCACTTTCCATCTCTGTTAAGTGAGTAGGAGAGTGTTATATCGTTATATCTTGATAAAGACCTACAGACACTGTAGGTTTCTTCCTCCAGCATCCTCAGTTAAACCGTTTGTAGTTTTTAGTAAGGGAACTGCATTAGTCAGCCCTCTGTAATGAGAGGCTGGCATTTCACTGAGCCTTACAGAAGCCAACGCCATGACACAAATGCTGGCTGACCTTAGTTTGTCGTCTATCCAGGAGCTGCTCAAGATGTAGAACTTTTAACCTGCATAGCCAAATGTGCTCCAAGATCTGCAAATGAAAGAGGATGCTTTATCCCACAGGCTGTACTGGGAAAACCACTGCTAGCAGACGCTCAGCATGAAGCCCTGTACATTTTCAGTTTTTTTTGTTTGTTTGTTTGTTTTGTTGTTGTTTTTTAAGGCTGCTGAGTCCAGAGTCTAACTAAGAAACTGGTACCAGAATCCACCGGCCAGTATTTCAGCATATGAGCTCTGAAGTCATATAGACAGATGTTTACTAGCACTTAAGCTGTTTCCCCAAAGCTCCTCTTTTTGCAGTTGGCAGAGAGCTGGCACCGGGGTAGCCTGTTGTGAATATAGCCCACGCTGGAGGGCGGAGAGGAGAATTCTAGTTAACTCATGCTTCTTCTGCGCTTTCATCTTTGGAAGTCATCTCCCCCAGCTGACCATATTAATAAACTTCGCTCTACAGAGTGTATTAAATAAACATATACTGACACTTGATGGTGAGGGAAGTGTTGGCTTGCAGCTGATTTTATGTTTAATGGTAGCAAGCATCACTGAAGTTATCTATGAGGGCGCTGACACAACATCAAGTGTAAACAAGTTCACTGTTCCCATAGTGACACATCTTGCCATAGCCCTACTTCCTTCCGCTTGTTCTCCATCTCCAGCTTCAAAACTCCTTCATCTTTTCTGCACGTTCTTTGGAGAAGTTCCTGATAGTGGCAGACCTTTTGTCTGCCTTTTACTTAACTTCTCCTAACTTTACTAAACGTCCACAGAGAGGCAAGACAATTCTTTCAACGTCATCTCTACTGAGAACTTTGTTTCTTCATAACCTCTTTTTCAGATTGTTCCATTTCTGTCACCAACAAATGGTCGTTCTGACTCTGTTTGAGCTTGCACAGCTCCTCTGAACCGCCACTGAACAACTGTGATTTCACAGAGTGCTCCACTCCTTGCCTCTCTTTTCATTGGCCTCCTGTGAAAGTCATTTCATCACAACACTTCTTCCCTTTTATTCCATTTTCCCACTTACCCTCATCATCATGTTCCTTTGTCCTTCCTTCTTCTGCCTTAAAAACAAACAAATAGTAGCACATACGCATCCTCTAAAGCCCAGACCTTCTTGTAAGGTACTGCTCAGCCTCATACCAAAACTCTTCTCAGTCCTGTGCTGCTGTCCCATCTCTAATCCAAGCAACGGATGCTTTTAGTCTGGGTCCCTGGGAATGTATTTTTCTTTCTGCTTTTGCCTCCTTTTGTCTAAGCTTGCATTTTTCTTCTGGAGAAAAAAAAAAAAAAAAGTGTGACTGCTAGGTTTGTTTGCGTGCAGTTCAGAAAGTTGGAACTAGGACTGGAAGGTGGGAGGAGAGCAGTTCCCCTTACCCTGGAAAAAAAAAGCTTCTCATAATTGTTAGCAAGTCAAAAGTTTTACAAGAGTTTTACAAAGATAAAATTATTATTATTATTTTTGGGCTGAGCCCAAAATAAATCTTTTTTTGTTGTATGTTTAAAATTGCAGCTTTAAAGAATATTGAAATGCATTTCAGACAAAAGTAATCTCCCGTTAAAAAATATTAAGTGCTAATTAGATAACACCAAATGAAATGCTCTGGGATTTTGATTTTCTTTTCCTTACTTTGTGACTCTGAGCTTTACACAGCCCTGTGCAGTAACAGCCACAGAGCAGTGCAGGAGGGATCCCAAGAGGCCACCACCCCCGTGGTGCGGGGGCATTGGCTGTGCACGTGTCATTCTTGGGAGTTATTTTTCCAACACACTCTGCAGCCTCTGAGGATGAAGACTTTGCAAATTCCCCTGATAATTTATTGCAGTGCTTTGCCACCCTGACAGCGGTGAAGCTTTTCCTATTGTGTAACCTGAATCTCACTTGCTGCAGTTTGAACACATCATCGTGTCTGTTAGCCCTAGGAGAGGTGAAGAACAGTTTGTTTCCTTTCTGCTTATGGAAAACTTTGTCTTGTATGAGGATTGTTACAACATCTCTCTTCTTGCCTTCCTCTTTCTCAACTAATCAATTATAGTTCTTTTGAGAAACTTTTCAACCCATCCAAATCAACATAGTTTTGCAATGCATGTGGTTGCACACAACAGGGAAAAAAAAAAAAAAGGCACATATTTTCTTCAGCTATGACTTTCATCAAAGCCATGTTCCAAGCTTGTGTCTGAAACATCTCTCTTGCTGTCTCCCTGTATGGATCATTACTTCTGAACTCATCCGTGGTGCCTCTACCATCTCCTTCCTTTTAAAACTTGAATCAGTCAGAAATGTAGAGAGAGAAGGATTTTTTTTTCAGTTGATCTTTTTACATCTTTGTCTTAGTATGTGACTGAAATATCATTGTTGCACTCTCATCTTATTTTGTGCTGACCCTTATTTTAGCTGAATTTAGATGGTAAGCTTATCAGAACATTGATCAGTCAAGGATTTGTTGAAAGCCATGTAGGTAGTGTTATAACTAATAAAGAGTAAAATAAACCTTAAAATCCTAATCTGCAAAACCTGCAACGCTGCTTTTCCGTACAAAATGCTTACCTCTGTGGAAATAGATAATACGAGCTCTCTGATTGTATAATGTGGTACAAAACTTTTAAAATTGAAATCTTTATCTGATTTTCAGTAGCATTCCATTTTTATGTTGATTTTTGTCTAATAATCAACATCCTTTCATTGTACATATTAAATCTAAAATTAATAGAGCCGTAATACACTGTGACAGTGTAGTATTGGGAAGTGCCAAGTGATGTGATCTGTCATGTATTTAAATTACTCAGCAGTGGTAGGGTCTTTACAGGATCATTTTTTGAAGCCAACTTTAAAAATGCTAACCTTCAGTTTTTGAAGTCTTTAAACCATGAAAATTCCAAGCTTTTGGTGATTAACAAGCATGATGAAACGCTGTAATATGAACCACAACTTGACTGAGGCTTGCAAAGCTACAAGTTGAAAACAAGAGGGGACCTTCTTGTACAGTAACCTGGCTCGATAGAAGTTACTTTTTTTTTTTTTATCTGAAACAGATTTTGTTATCCATTTTTTAATATCTTAGGATTTTGAATTTTGGCACAATGAGCTTCACGTGTTTGCAGTTAAGCATATTTGTTTATGGATGTGAATAGATGATAGCAATTAGTTTTCTTTGTGTAAGAATTGTGTAGTTATTTCAAATAGCTGAAAAGGAAGACATTGACTTTCAGTACTCTTCAGGAACTAACACATTCAGTTTCTGTTGTTTAGACTTCTAAATGTAAAATTGCACATCATTGTACTTTCACCTGTTCAAAATGCTTGCCTGATGATGTGCTGAATATGTGCCTCCTGAGATAAAAGGAAGGCTTATGCAGGACAGAGATGGAAATTTAGCGCACTGTTTTTTTCTCAGGTCAGACCAGCCTTGTTTGGAGGAGGGTTGTGAACTGTAGTAGCCTTAGTAGAGTAGTGGTTTGAACTTAAAATATCACAATACTTCGTTTGCATCAATCATGTTGACATGCAGGATCAGATGTGGTGTGACAAAGTTTGGTATCACAGCCAACCGATATAATTAGAGTAGGTCAAACTTCCAAGAACAGATCTGCCCTTTCCCATAGTTGTGTGAAGTCAGACCAAGTACAGCAACGTCACAATTTGCCACGTAGCTTTGTTTCTCAAAGAATCTGCTTCTTCTAGAAGTAGTGAGAAAAATATTCAAGTGAAAAGAATAAAATTCTGAGATTTCACTTAGTTTTGGCTTTGAATTTCTAACATTATTTGGGACTGAGGCCAGTTAGTATGCCAGCCAGCTAGTACGTGGGCTGATACCACATTAGTAAGAGCTGGAGTTGCAAATCGATATTGATAAAAGTGCACCTCAGTATCTTCCATCCAAAGTTGAAAGGCTATGTGTATCTTGTTATGTGAGAGACGCTGTGACAGAGTACACCAGCCAGCCCATTCAGCTGAATATGTACCACTTAAATATTTAAAATTATTTTGGTACATTAACTGTGATTCTGGCTCGCTCAGAGATTGCATTTCCTAGTGGAGGCTGGCATATGCTGCGATATGCCCGCTCCAGGTGGAGCGTTGGGCTGCTGTGAGCTGTGCCCACCTGCTGTTACCTGCTGGGTTTGCGTGGCTTGGCTGTGTAAGCAGTGCAAATGGGTCAGTGACAGCACAGGGAAACAGAAGCTGGAGATGGCTCAAATGTGAAAGTTCAAACAGACTGAAATGTGACTTTCAGGCGCTGCCAAGTAAAATGTGGGACACCTGTTGCCTTAGGAAAGTCAGAGCTGATCTATATGTTGTTTCAAAACAAGTCTGAGTGTTCACCTTTCGGGGCAAGTTTGTGTGTATAAACCCTCATTTTCCAGAATACAGTACCCTATTTCCATTTTGCTTAGGTTATTAATTGTTTAGAAAAGATTTATTTTAAAAATGTTTTAAAATATTCCTTTTTTTTTTTTTTTTTTTTTTTTTTTTTACCAATTTTCCATCATATTAATATAGTTTCTGAGGCTATGAGTATGGTAGGAAATTTTCCCTTTTCTTCAGAAGGAGGGGAGCCAGCCAAAAGCAAACTATTCCAAGCCGCAGAACACAGAAGTAGAGAGCAGGTGCATTGCCTACAAGATAAGCCAATGGTGCACTACTGTAAGCCCATTTATGCCACCTGTGGATTAAGGAAAAGAGAAAGAAGCAAGAGAGAGGAACTTCTCTGCCTTAGGCTGAGCCTTAGCTGCTTTATTTGACCTCTTCACCAGCATTTCTTAAATCCTGAGCCCCACATTCCTGCATTTTTGCAACATTCCCCCTCTACAACCATAGGATAACAGAATATGCTCACAAGAGAAAATACAGCTGTCAGTCAGGTTTGTACACTGAATACTTCCATGTTCAGTCTCACCTTGTGTCCGGCCCAGGTAGGTAAGTTTTCAGTTCCTCTGCCTGGGCAATGTGTAAGAAAAGTGGCCCAGCAGCCACATGGCTCAGGTAGTTCCTCAGTGGTCACTTCACATGGAGCATGGGATTAGCAACAACCCCTTAAGGGCTGGAATTGTTTAGGAGCTCACTTTGACGGGCAAGTTCTAAAGAAGGGAAGGTCAGGGATTTCAGTTTTATTTAGGATTTATATTGAAATACAAATTGTTGAAATTATATAGGATTTCAACTTTAAAAATGTTACCCTGATTTTCCCATTTAAATGAAGAGTAGCTTTTTCTTTTTTCTTTTTCTTTTTTTTTTTTTTTAATTTTTTTACTTGCTTTCCTTATATGTGCATCCTTAAAAATAAAAGCAGAACTCCAATGGCTTCACCTTTGTGTAAAGTGTAATCCCATTTGTCTGCAGAACCATCAAGAAACAGTAATGTGATTTCACCAGCAAGTAGGTTCTGTTTACTGACAGCCTTTAACATTTAAAGAACATGGGTTTTGCTACTGCATTTTGTTTATTTTTCCTAATTCTTTTTATGTGTACATCTTCTTTTCCAAACTCAATTGAGTAATACTGTGTATTAGCACTTGACATGCTGCAGAAATCATTTTAAAGCTTTGTCTGCATAGGATATGGACTTGCCGTCCTTGCAGAGGTCACAAACCACACCATTTGAAATGCTTGCACTTCACTGAATACAGAAGTGTCTGGTACTAAGTGATAAATTGTGCTGTGGTGGATTTGAATTAAAATGTCTTGTTTCTCATTGCAGGCACCTTTTTCACAAGTCCTGTGTAGACCCCTGGCTGCTAGACCATCGTACCTGCCCTATGTGTAAAATGAATATTTTAAAAGCTCTAGGGATCCCGGTAAGCACGTTGCATAGGAGCTGGTTGGGGGAGAAGGGAAACACCAGCCACTTGGTTGCATCCCCAGTCCTTTGCCATTCTTCTCTTCCTGCCACATTATTGATTTGTTAATTAATTTTCTAAGGGTAATAGAAGCTGAAATGTGTGACTCTACCTCTCTCCTGCATCCCACTTCTATTAGCAAAAAAGGATGTGTGTTGGGTGTTGGGGTTTGTGTGTCTGTGACTGCCCAGCCCGGCTTATCGAGCAGGGGATTGCTTACTGGGGTTTCAGATTTATACATTGTTTTGTACAGCTTTTGTTTGTGTTTTAAATCAGGGCTGGTTTGTGTTTTTTGTTTTTGTTTTTTTGGTTTGTTTGTTTGTTTTGTTTTGTTTTTTTAATTCCACACTCAATTCAAATATCGAAGCAGAAGGTCTACAGATAAAAATTTCCCTGATATACCAGGTGAGAACAGCTAATTGCTCATTTTAGGGAGCCAAATCTCTTTTCTGTCAGATTTGTCTTAAAGTCTATCTGTAGCAAGCTCTGTGCTACTAATTCCAATTAGGAAGATGTCTACCGGTAACTAAGCACGTGGCAGACCCCATGCTAAAAGAGAAATGGTTAAGCTCTTTGTACTTGATACAATTAGGTATGGTTAGAACTTGTTAAAAATAAATCTTTTTAGGTTGCTTGTTTCTATCCAGATCGTGTATGTCCTGTCTGCTGTAGTTTCCTACCAGCACTTATCGCAGAGAACAGGGGCTTCTCCAGGAAGAAGTGAGTCACTTCTCACAGCGCGAGGCGTGCCATGTGCTAGTGAAGTTCAGTACTGAAACCCTGGTCAGTACATGAACAGGTGCTGTAAATGCCCTCCCCAGTTACAGATGGTGACACGCCAGCTCACATATGAGAGAGCTGTATACAATAAAATAGATTGCAGAATCACAGAATGGCTGAGGTTGGAAGGGACCTCTGGAGATCATCTAGTCTAGATGTTAAGGTCTTCCAGCAAGTTTAGTACCATCTATCAGTATTTACATCCAGAATATGGCTCTCAGACTTAACTGGCAGCTGCTGAAGGCTAAGCATGTATGCAAATCAAACAGGTTGTCTGAGGCTGGGTACATCAAGGGGAGGAAAAACATGCCTACAGACATTGTGCAGAAGTTTTGATTTGCAAGACTGGCTTTACTATACATCAACAGCTCTGTAGCAGCAGGTATAGAATCTAATTGCCATGATTAGGAGTTAAAGCATCATTCAGTTTCCTCAGCCTTCGTTTTAGCTCTCACAGCCCCTGGTGTTGTCTCTGTGCTGTGTGGCAGAAGGGGGATCCTTTCTGCTTCCTCAGTGAGAACTTTCCACATGGAGATTCAGTGGAAATAGCTGTGCTGATCTTGTAATTAAGGATACTGTTGTAACCCACATACACAACTGGGTCAAATTAAGATTTCAGAGTCAGCCTCAGCACTGGTCTGTCTTAACATCCAAGTGTTTGATTTTTAGTGTTAATGTTCCACTAGGCAAGTTTGTTCAAATGATTTTATTTTATTAATTTCTGTAAAAATTTTCCTAGCATGTTCTAAGATGACAAACTGAAAACAGCCCGCTCCATCATTTGGAGAAAGCATACTGGCTGCCACGTGCATGAGGCATTGGTTAAAGTTAGGGAGGGAGAGGGAAGAGCTGCATGTTAGCTTTACCCCTTGAGGTGAATTACAGTAGGAACGGTTGTCCATGGGAACTGGGAACATATGGTAGCCTTCATGTCAAGGGTTTCCTCTGGATGATGGCAAAGGGAACAGGAGTCTGAGAGCATCAGGTAGCTTGGGGGTTTAAAATTCTTGTACTGCTATCAGTTCCTGCTCTGTTCTCTCTGCTTTATCTTTTTAAAATCTGCCTTAACTTCAGCTGCTGCTTCTCCTATCTTGTCTCCTGTCCCTGCTTCTTCTCTGCATAGCCCCCTCCTGCCTGGTGTCACTGCCCATGCTTCTGCTCCCTGCTCATCTCACAGGACCTCTTCTCCACCTGCACAGACACTGAGCATCCTCACCCTTCTCCTTGCCCCATGGCAGCAGCTTAGGGCAGCTCAGGAGGGTGTTGGTCCTGTGCAGTGGTTTCTGGTGGCACAGCCAGCTTCCCGGCACCACACAAAGCCCTGTTCTCTTTGGGGACTGCAGTTTCCAGTCCCTAATAAGCCACCAGGCTCCATCAGCACACATGAACTGATTTTTTCAGAGGCTCATAATTTAGCCAGATGTCAGTGGGCTGTTGTGGGAAAAGACATTTCCCAGGAAGAAGCTGTAAAGCTCTAGGGCTTCTCAGCAAGAGGTGGCAAACGCTTCTGTAGAGTGGATAAAGCAGAATGCCATTCCCTAACCACATTCTTGAGCCTTGCTGAGCCATCTTAGCTGAAATTTCCACACAGAGAAAAGAAGCCTTAGGCAGGCAGCAGTCTCTGATGGGAAGCTTGAGCACCGATTTGCCAAGGATCTTTGCAGATTTTACAATGGGAGGAATGAAGAAATCTTACCATCAGCAGGACTATTAGTTTTTCTTCTGCCGGCTGAATGTTTGTCCTATGGTTCTCGTTAAAGAGCTGGCTTGTGCAACTGTAGATAGATTGTGCTTCATTTAGCAGGAAGACCTGGGATTTTCCAGGAAATGATTGGTTAAAAAAGAAATTTCTAAATATTTCAATTCACTTCACATCTAAACTCTCCATTTAATTTGTAACAACGACTTCAGATTATCTGCCCTAAAACCAGGATCTGCAGGCTGCAGTGAGGCACTAAACTGTCTGCGCTGATTTTCACGGTAGCTGAGCACCCTAACATTCCAGCCTTTCACCGTGGCACTCTGCAGCTCCAGAGGATAATTAACTGAATATCTATCAGCAAACGTTTGGAGTAACCTTTTCCACCGTCTCTGTGCTGGTGAATCCAGCTCACAGACTTTACCTCTTTTGGCTGTAATATTTGAAGTGAATTATCAGTGCAAGTGACTTTCACTTTCAAAGACCTACATTGCTTTTGGGAAGATCATATCGCATAAAATAGTTTCCTTCTGCTTCTCCCTCTTTTCTGCAAATATCTGCTGGATAAGCAGACAGCTGCATTTTTGGCAGCAGATTGGATGACTTGAAGCTATTCACTAAGAGCCTTAGCCAAGTGCTCAGAAGTCAATACAAAGCCTTCCCTTGACTTTAGTGGAATTGTGCCCTCAAAGCACTTACATGCAGGGAATGAGTGAAACCAATATAATTAAACTTAGCAAATGTATCTGGGTCACCCTGACAGCAAAAAACTTAATGTAGTTTTTTCGATCAGTATTTTATATCGTTAGTTTTATAGTATGCTGCCTAATTTGCGATATTTTTCCAACTAAAATGATTCAGGAGTAAAGGGATTAATTATATCGAGCAACGTTATTTTAGCATCTTTTTTTATGTTTGGTTTGGATTTCAATTATTTTTAAACATTTAAAAGTTAGTGATAAAGCCCCATTCTAGGAATAACTGGAATCAGAGCAAAGGACAGACAACTGATCCCCTGAAAAAAAAATTCAAAATAATTTTTCTTAGAGTACAAAATAAAAAAGCAGGTCTTTTTTCTTTAAGATAGACTGCCCTCAAAGTCAAATGTAATTTTAAAATGAAATTCTGAAGGCATTTGTTGTAACAGCTGAGGGTGAGGAAAAGAACGGTAGATCTAATGAATGATTTGGATCCAAGGCCTACAGATAAATAATTGGTGTTTCACTCAGAAAAGTACAAGTTTGGTGGGTTTTATTAAAGTCACGTGTAGCTGGATGTGCCTTTATCCCGGTTGTGAGGAGCTCTCACTGCCTGGGGATTAGGTTGGAACCAGACAATGGCAATTACAATTTTTATCCCAAACTTCAGCTTGTGGATACAAGTCATATGAGGATTGTGTAAAGTTCACGTCTTTTTCATTAGGAACATTTGTGAAAAAATACTCAGGAGATGGCAGCAATCAGACAGGGAATATATGGGAAAAGAGAAAACATAGTAAGGTCCTACTTCTGCAAAAAATGCAAGCATATGGTAACCTCCAGAGTTCAAAGGGATTACCCTTGTGCTTAAAGCTAAGCCTCTGTTTATGTCTTTGCTGTATATTTTGCTTACTTTCTAGATGGCTGCTGTTGGAGGCAGACAGGTTCTGAAAATTTTCAGAAATGCCTTAACAAGTGAGACACCTGAGCGTAGCAAAAATCAGATCCACAGAGCAGGTTCATCACCTCTGACTTTAGCCATCCAGATACTGGATTTCCAGCCTAGCAGCTTAAGCCCCTCTCTGTTTAGTGGTGAGCAGTAGGAAGGTAGAAAGGGCAATTCATAGCACTTAACCATAGGGCGGGATGAATCACACAGCAAAATTATCTCAGACTATTGAAATTAGAGGAAGCCCAACTGACTGATCCAGATTAGCCTTCTGACTCCTGGACAATAATGATAAATGTGAACAACATACATTTATGTTTCCTAGCTTAACAATGTATCTACGTCATTGCAGCTCAACCTTGCAATGCCCCTTTGTCATTTTGGGCCTGCCAAACAGTATCCTCGTTTCTGAATTATCCTTGCTTTTTGTTATGGTACATTAAAACTTCAAGTCCAGATCTTGAAATAGTTACGCAAAAAAGTTTTCTCCATGCCTTGGGGAGAACTAGACCCAGCTGTGTGGGATAATGGCACAAGAATCTGTTTCCTCTGAGAGCAAAAAGAACCTTTTACTCCTGTTTTACACCAGTGTTTATGGGGAGCTCCATAGAAGTCACTGCTGTGTGAAGGGGAGCATCAGACTTTTAAACAGGTCTAGAGAAATCAGGGGTAGAAATTAGTTGACTTCTTAATCACCCAGCTTGAATGTAGTTGTCTTGCTGGACAAACAGTCCTCCCTACCCACTTGAATGCTCAGTGTTCTCCCCAAATAGGTGCTTTAACATTAAGGATGCAGTGCAAAAGGTGCACGCTAAAACACCCTCACATTGCTTCCCCGTAAGCTCGGTAGAAAGGCAGGCACCTGACTTGAAAAGCTTGGCTCGTTCTGTAGGGGTAGTCATGTTCACTATAAAACTGCAAGAAAGAAGAAATTACAGAGAACTTGCATCCATGCTGTCTGAATCGCAAACCAAAGAGGAGTCTGATCTACATAAAACTCTTCAATTTTCCAATATTGTTTGTTTGTTTCTTTTCTCATCATTTTATTTATGCAGGAAATACAGCATTAGCAAAGAAAAAGATCTTTTCATGTTAAAATACTGTCTTATCAACAGTTTTAGCTTCTATTTTCGCACCCCACTCATAGATGCGCCCACAGGCAGTTCCGTGAATTCCTATTTCTGAAAGCTCTGATATCAGCTCAATAAAATGTATATTGAGATAAATGATAATCATCCCCCTTCAGCTACTGTCTGTGTTTACATTTGTAATCTGACTCAGCAATCTGCCTGTGTTGAGCAGATCATACCAATAAGTGAACTATTTTTTCAATTTACATGCTCCCAAAACCTTTAAGAAGTATAAATAAGGATATTTAGAGATTGTAAGTGACAGTCTAGCACTGCATATTTCCAATGCATGCTTTGGATCTCTCTTCCAACAGATTGCATTAATAGGTTTTAAGCAAGCAAACTGTGCGTGTTTATTCATCTTATGTTGCCATTTTCAGTACTTGTTCATAAGCAGTTCCATGGGAATCAAGAAAATGACAATAGGAGCAGTGGGTTTAAGAGAAAATGAAAAAGCCTAAAAAAAGTAGGAGCAAGTAAATGAAGTGTTTTTATAAAATCAAAGCTCAATTTTCTTCTTTCTCTTCCCATTAGCCAAACGCGGATTGCATGGATGATATACCTCCGGACTTGGAAGCATCCATAGGAGGACCTCCAACCAACCAGATAACAGGAGCCAGCGATATAACAGTGAACGAGAGCTCTGTTGCTCTGGATCCCCCGGTGCGGACTGTGGGAGTGCTACAAGTCATCCAAGATGTAGACTCCTTTCCCCAGGCTGGGGAGAGTAACTTCACAACAAGCAGTAAGTTCCTCTTTCTGGCAGAATTTGCACTGACAGAAATTATTAGAAACCTGAATCACAAACCAATATTTAATGGGGGAAAATGGCCTTTGAGGCCTTTTTTACTGGAGCAGTGACCTTACCTTAAGCCAAGTGGAAATCTACAAGGTAAGTAGATGTAAATATCATGTCATTCTGCTGTACTGCAAACACTCCCAGCCTGTGTCCTGAATCTGTGTGTAGGATAACAAACTCTAGTTGGAGTCCCCCACATGGACAGAAGAACAAGTTATTGCATTCAATACAAAGAAGTACAAAGTTTTGGTCACCTTCAGGTATTGTTTACATGTCCTTTGGCCTGCCTTTCTTCACCGGGCTACATGACCATATGGAAGTTATTACCTGCATATGATAAAATAAATAGTAAACGCAGCAATCGCTTCCACTGCCTTTGGTCAAGAAAAAAAGAATGTTGAATTCTGTTCTTGCCGTTATCTTCTTACGCCAGCTGAAGCTTGTCTGATTATTTATTCATATTTGAATTTCTCATTTCATAAGGATTGATGGTCCTGTACTTGAAAACTTGAGTACGGTGAAACAATGCTGCCGATTTGTACTAAAAAGGAGAAATTTGGAGGTTTTCAGTGTAGTTTTTGCTTGTTCAAGAGGTGCCATTTGAGCTAGTAACCCACAAAATGTCTACATGGCTCTGTTTCTAATGTTTCTGATGTTCATTGTTGAAAATCTACTTCTGACAGTTTGAAAAGAATGGTTGTCAGCTGTTTTGAGTGAGGATTGTTTAAAATTCTCGCTTTTAGGTAAAATAGCAGATCAGTAGAAAATACATATCTGTTTGATACCAGTTGGTACGTTAGTATTGACAAGAATATTGTAGAAAATCATCAGATATACTTGAAGGGAGGTAGGAGAGTGTAATAAAATACAGGCTTGTATATGTAACCAACACAGCTCCTGGAAAAAAAACAATACTTTCAAGCATTTTTACGTACTACTCTGACCCTGGGTGTGACACCAAAAAAAAATGTGATGTATAAAAGATTGGAGAGACATGAGAGGGCTAGGCTGAAATGATCGTATTTTCCTTCATGTTGCAGCCACTGTCATGGCAGTGAAAATAACTTCTGGAAATACCGGACTTGTGACCTTAGGCATAAGTGACCCAGGAGTGGATTTTTAAACTCGTCTTTTGTGGATTAGGTACTTGGTTCAGTTTGGGTCCTTTTATGGTCAAAATACTGGATCCAGCAAAGGGTGTGAGCAACAAGGTTATAGACCCAGCTGTGATCCGTGGCCAGCCTGTCAGCTGGTGGGATATGACTTTCTCAAGCCTCCTTGGGTGCTGGCAAGGGCTGTTCAAAACAAGATGTTATTTTGTTCCTTCCAGTAATTGTTTTTAAATACATTTGAGGCTGATTTAAACTGAGAGAGAAAGATTTTGCCACAATGCTACTAAAGGCTGAGATAGACTCTGGTCTCAATACTCCTGAGGCCAGCAGCTCCCCTGGCAGATAACTACCCTTGTCCCACTGTTCTTTACGAGGTCCAGTACTGAGGTAGGGAAGAAAGGCCATGGTGTGTCCCTTACGCCCACAGCTGTGTGGCCCAAATTGAGAAAAGCCAGCAGCCCGGTGTAAAGTCCAACATCAGGGGCAGTTCATGCTTTTCATCCCAGGATCTTGGCATGCCAAGAAGCAGTTCTTTTGGTTTGTCGTCAGTGGTAACAATGGTGTCAAGGCAGCCAGGGAACACAAGAGCTCAGTAACTCTCCAGCCGTGCTCTCCCCCTCCAGGTTTGTTTTGAGAGTTTGTAAAAGTGTTAGTGTCCGTCCAAACACATTTGTTCTTCATTTTCTATGTTGCCAGCTAAGTAACTGGTTGAAAACGTTGCCTTGAGCCAGAGGAGCACAACAGGGCTGCAGATGCTTTATTTTGCCTTCATGCCCTCCCTTTTTTCCCTTGCCTTTGATGACACTGGGCAACAGTCCCTAACACCAGGCAATCCTGAGGGCTGACAGCAGAGTCCATGGATGAGAAACTTGCACCAAGGCCAGAGGGTCTGTCCCGACACTCAGGTAATGAGGCAACAAACCACAGAGCTCCCAGAGCTCACTCACACATCATTGGTATGTTGTAGCCAGGAATCTTCGTCTGGATTTCTCATCTCACAGTGGAATACAGAACTTGAATATTAGTCAGTTGTAGGTGTGGAAGTTTACATGCTGTCACCACCACATCCAAAGTGGTGCAATTTGCAGTAGTTCCCAGCAGCAGAGCCATTTGGTCTCTTTTTGTAGTGGAGCTCACAGTAAAGATGAGTTCCTTGGAATCAGCCCCCAGCTTCCAACCATCAGTGCTGGGAATTTGTACCTCTAGCTGGTATATGTGGCTTTGAGGCTGTTCAGGCACTCTGAAAAGTAGAGCTTAGCATCTCAGGCAGCCTGAACTCTAATCCAGTGAAAGCGGGCATCCAGAACCACCATCTAGTTGTGGTATGAAACCAAACGCTAACTAAATCAGAGGGCAGCTGTAGCCTAAATAGCTGGGTCATAGCTGTCATATAGTTGGGACCTAATAGGCATTGTGGCTGCATATTGTATTCAGGCTTTGTATTTCTTATTTCCAGAATCCTCATAGTTACACAAGGCTAAGCGTGTCCTTTCTGTGAACTATCCTGCCTGGCAATTCATACGTGCTGACGCTGATTGCTCCTAGGAATTTTTGCTGAAGTTACTAGATTCTGGCCTCTTTACATAGCATTGGTGACGGAAACATACTCCAAGGCTGAATTTGTGCTAAATGTTTTTCTTCCTCTTGTTTCTGAATCTCTGTAGACTGCCTCCCATGCAGTCTTGACATGGCAGCCTGTGCCCAGCACCACAAGCACCCATCTTTGCGTCCCTTCTTTTTCCTGGCAAAGTTCAGTGGTCCATGATATAAGGGACTTGCTGCCTCTTCCCACCCATTTCTGCAATACTTTTTGCTTAATTGCTGTTGCATCCTTTTGGTTTGTTGATTAATCATTCTGGTATTGTTTTCTTGGTTTGGTTTTAATTTCCCTTTCCAGCAAGTGTTCAGAGCCAGAAGGGCTCCCACAGTGTGTCTGGAGGGAAGATATTTCCAGAGTACTGTTCACATCGGGTGAAATTCTGTCTCCATTGAAATCTGGTGGCAAAGCTCCCACCTACTTCAGTGGGAACGGTTTTTCATTTCTGGAACTCAGACGGTGCTTTTCTTTTTCTTTCTGTGAGTGTGCTCAGCAGACGTTTCCTCTTCTCTCCCTCCCTTTTTCTCCCCGTGCTCCTGAACAGATGATGGCTTCCAAAGGACCCTTGGCAATGCAGTGTGCTGCAAACATCTGGATGGTCTTCACATGGGGGGGGCCTGTCCCTGGGGTTCTTTGCTAAACCAAACTTCTCCGGTGTAATAGCACTGAGTGCTAAAAAAATGGACAAGCAGTACCTCTCAGCTGGCTTCTACCGAGATCCAAGCCCTCATGGGCATGTCTACAGGCCAAAGGCTGTTCAGTATGTAGTCTTAGTGACTGCCTTGTGGTGGGATTTCATGCAGGATCCTGGGATAGCGTCTTAAAATGTGGTATTTCTGTAATCAGTTGCTGAAAATGGATGGATGGGAAAAATGAAAAACTGGAATTGGGGGGAAAAAAGGAGCATGAAAAAAATGAGTGAAATACATAAGAGTTCATCTCAGCAGAGTTTCCTGCTTTGACCTATTAGAGCAGGTCCAGAGGAGGGCAAGAAAAATTACCAGAGGACTAGAACACCTCTCCTATGGAGAGAGGCTGAGAGACTTATGGCTGTTTGGCCTAGAGAAGAGAAGACTGGGGAGAACTTCTTGCAGCCTTTCACTATATAAAGGGCACCTACAAGAAAGATGGAGAGAAACCCTTGGGTATGTAGTAACAGGACAAGGGATAATGGTTTTAAACTAAAAGAAGGTAGACTTAGATGATGTATAAGGAAGAAGTGCTTTACTGTGAGGGTGAGGCCCTGGCACAGGCTGCCCAGAGAAGCTGTGGCTGCCCCATCCCTGGAGGTGCTCAAGGCCAGGCTGGATGGGCTTTGAGCAACCTGGTCTGGTGGGAGGCGTCCCTGCCCATGGCAGGGGAGATAGAACTAAACGGTCTATAAGGTCCCTTCCAACTCAAACCATTTGATAATTCTATGAGTCTATTAATGTTCAACTTTCAAGATGGTACGAAAGAAGATAATGTAGATATTTTTCCCCAGTAATGCATCATAGCAATTTGTGCTGCCCAATTTTTTAGTACTGAGTTATACAAAATGTCAATATGACATCTTTGAAAAATCCAGCATGGGTGGAATTTCCTGCTTTACAGACATCGTGAGTGTGAGCTAGACTAAGGCTTAACTTGGCTAAGGTCTGAACTTGAAGAAGTTCTGAGCTGCACCAGCTTTGGCAGAGTGGAAGGTGGATTTGGGATTTGATACTTAGCAATATTATCTGGGTCAGGCTCAGCCGGGGTTGAATGATATGGTTTAAAAATGTAGTTCACTGGGAAAGTAGCGTCTAAATGCTTTAAAAGTTGTGTGATGCTTGCAAGAGAAAAAGTAGATTTTTTTTTTCATCTTTTATAGCATCTATGATCATTAATGTCCCTCAGCCCGTGTAGTATTTTATAATCTCTGCAGTAGATAATAGGCACTGACTGAGTCTTTGCTCTGTGTTGGTAAATACCCCTAGATTTTCAATTTAGACAAGCTTTTATCCTCTCTTCAGTGTGATGTCCTGTCATTACTGCATGAGGCCTCAGAAATCCCACCAGTACTGTCTCTGTAGCTGGAGTAAAATTCATAAATAATTCTACTGCAAAGATGGGCAGAGGTTTTAATATGAAAAACCACAAACTCTCCCCAAAGGTGTCTCATTACCTGCAAAGTCTGCTGAGTTTGGCAGGCTGTAGAACAGCATTGGCAGTCCAGGGAATATCAGCAGTTCCTTTTCTGCCTCCCATTTTGTTCC